ACTGGCTGGATGAACGAATGAATGAATGAATGAATGAATGAATGAATGAATGAATGAATGAACTTACAAGCATACTGTTAGGGAAAATGAATGGATTCCTTTTTAGAACTCTGCCGGAGATGAATTGTCACGATCCCACATGGAAATCTAGTGTTCCGAAAGGTGGACTACACACACTGCCCAGGAGCAAAACTCCAAATTCTGAGATCCAGGCCAGCCAAACCCCTGTCCCTTCCTCCTTCTTCCATCCCAGCCTCTGTTGTCGCTGCTCGGGGAATGCTTCTCTCGTTGCTAGAGGTCTCTATTCCCACACCAGGCCTCTTCCTTAACTTATAACTGTCCGAGGAGCTTCCCTCTCTGATAAAGTAAAGAGTTTTGCTGAACCTCGAGTTAAGAATCAAAAACTTTCACAAGCAGCCTCGGAGAATAACTTTGGCAAACTGCATTTCACCAATGAGAAACGAGGCCCTAAAAGGAAATTCCTGGCTCAGGGTCACACAGCTAACACTAGCCTTGCCTTGCCTGTCTCCCCCTCTCTGTGCCTTCGGGCCATCCGCACCCTACCTGCCAAGTCCTTTGATGCCTGCGGAGCCTCTGGCCAGACACTGCAGTCGGAGTCGTTCAATGGGGTCAGTGCTGGTGGTGAGTTTCTTCTTGGCCTGCATCGCCATCTCTCGGTCGTGCCGCGCCGTCCCTGCCATCTGAGGGGAGAAAGCGTAGCGGGTTAAAGGAGCGCAGGGCGTGCACCGCCACCAGCCGCGTGGGCAGAGGAAGTTGCCCGTATCAACAGGCATCCCATAGCGCCCAGAATTTCCGATTTGGTGCCACTGTGCCTGGCGTGGTATTACTCACTTATCTAGTCCCGAGTACATCTGCTTTCCTCAGCTCGTAGCCGAGCTTTTACACCACAGCCGTCTTGCAATATGCTTTGATCTTCCCAAAGCCCTCCGCCCTCTATAAATAATTCAGTCTCTATAGTCTTTTGAATCATTTTGAATCAATCGTATTTGCCATGTCCTTTTATTTAGGATTCTCCGCAGTCCTTGCTTCACACTGAATGTTCTTCTCTTTTATCTAAACACTGGTTTTTGTTCTTTCTGTCTTCACTGAGACTTCCAAAATTCAAGACCTAGAATCTAGGATGGTCTTTGAACCATACTAACAAGTTAACAATTGGTGTCCATTCATAACTAATAAGGGTCTTCAGGAAAAAAAAAAAAAAAAACAGTAAATAGATACTATATATATTTTCCTTTTTCTTCCGTTTGGCTTTTGACTTTTGGCTTTTGTGAGGGGTGTGTGTGTGTGTGTGTGTGTGTGTGTGTGTGTGTGTGTGTGTGTTGAATATTCAGAATAGGAGAGATGATAGCATTAAAGTTCCATCTCCTAAAGAGCCTGGATAACAAGCCTTGAATTCTCAGACTTTCTTGTTAACAAAAAAGAGCACAAAGCTGCCAGAAGATTAGAGACCCTCGTTCTGGTCCTGCTTCCTCAACACCCCCACCCCATGATGGGGCGCAGTAACCTCAAGGCCTCCAGTATTCTCCTCCTCTGTTAAGCAGAGGGGCTGTGGATCAGTGGTGGGGAGCTTAGGGCATGTGCTGTTGTTTTCTTTTAAGACCAAAGATGTTACTATAGAGGGTTTCTTTTCTAAACTAAAGTTTCAGTATCTAAGTTTAAGAGTAGTGTTGGCCCTTTGTGATAAATAGGTGAATCCGAGGTTGCAGTTTCACCCTCAGTCTCTAAAAGGTTCGCCATCACTGGGTTAGATTTAAAAAAAAAAAAAGAAAAGAAAAAGAAAAAACAATAAAAATGATACAGAACTTTGAAACAAGATGGCAGGAAATTAACAATGGTTATTATGTTGCATATTGCTATATTCAAATTACCAGGAATAGGCATGCAGAACTAATGAAACAATATAAGAACTTACTTTCTCTTTCAGTGAACTAATAGAAATTAACAGTGCGTAGTGAGGTTAAGATTGATAGCCCAAATCGTTTGATAATAACAATAAGCTTTTCTTCTGGATGGTTAACAACCTAAGTTTGCAGACCAA